ATTGAGACTTCGGCGATTATCGGTCCCGCTCAAGGACCGCCTACGCATTCGACTTCCATTCAAAATCGTAGCGGCATTTTGAGTGCCTGTGTGCCCGATTCAATGACTTGCGGTGGTCAGTCGATGTACAAAACAGGGCTTATATCCTCCCAGACGAGTCTGATACCAAATTACCGACTCCGGAGAGATGGAAGGCTCGGTTGGCTTGGGCGGTTATCCGAGATTCCGATCCGGGATTCGAACTCTTAACCATGAATGTGCGAAGAGCGTCTTTTGCCACTACACCAACTCCGTCATAGTCTACGATAAGCGTCAGTAATCAATCCCTAATATCGGAGCGCATGGGACTTCAACCTGCTACACACCTTAACTATTTAAAATTGTGAACTCTGTCATCAAATGAAATAATTTGCGAAACGCTGGCCTGTAGGCTACGATTACTGAAAACTCAATGTGGAATGTTAAATGCATAGAATTGCAAGTGAAGCGGCCATGATTTCACAAACTTACCCCGTAAGTCTAGTATTTTTCAAATAGAGAGAATACTGAGTTCCTCTGCTGCAAAGAAAAACCCAAAAGCTGGATTTCTTGTAGCCTAGGCCAGTTGAACTGGCATCAAATAGACACATGAAGCAGTGAAGTCTGAAAGGTTTGTCCGTCTGATTCCAAGGTAAGAAGACGCAACACCAAATCGAGCTGAAACAATATAGAAAAGAGTTAGTAATCAAATACTCTGAAAGACCCCTGAAAACCGCCTTTTCGCAATCTTAAAAGTTGAGTATGCATTGTAACTTGGACTATGACGTGATCCATGATAACAAGACAGCAACGACACCTCAACAATTTATTTTATTAATTGATTTCCTTATTTATCCATTCGGCATTATATGTGCTTCCCACTAGAACGATTTCCAGCATGTCCGGCAAATCTCGTCAAAAGCCTGACTGGCTGAATTCGGCTGAGTAACAATTGACGAAGTGGTGAAATACGAGAGTTTGAAAACGGAATTAGAAAGCACTGTTCTATCAAAAGCCTTTGGTTCTCAGGAATTTCACTGGGAATTGAAAGTCATGGCATGGTCAGTAAGAGGGGATCCTGGTATCCTGCTTAAGTGGGGCAGTTCAGGAACAACGCCCTGTACTAGCGCACAGAGCATTGAGGGTAGCATTTACTTAGAGAAGATACTTCACTATGACCTTGTGTCATTCAGACAAACCTTTTCAAGATAAAGAAGACTCAACTTTCAAAATTTATCGAATTTTGACGATAAATCAATACTGATATTGTCAATATTGGCAAGCACAAGGTAGTCTTTTCTCAACCATCAAGGTTCCTCACGAAGAAGTACATGGTGATATCAGTCTGGGCAAGGGCCTCTGTATGGGAGTCAATACATGTTTCTGGCCGTAGACTGGTCCTTAGCTTGGTCGCGCATTGCATCGTTTGTCATTTTAAGCATTTTCCGAAAATCGGACCCGTGGTCATCAGAACAACTTAATCGGATATTTTTTAAAATTGTTGACGTAAATACTACATGCAGGGCATTTTTTAGATTTTCGGCAGCTTTCACAAATTTATAGTATATGATAAAAATCATCTAGTCCGGAAACTGCGGGTCAGTCAAATACGATGGGTCAAGAAAATGATAAACACAGTGAAATTCACGAGATAGAGCATATGCTACGATATCTCTTACGTTGTAATATTCGATTTTTCTCAAGGAGCCTAACTGAACTCTCACTTTTTGTCCTCATCTTCACGCGTTTCTTTTTTGTCGTCTGCATTCCGTTACACCCCACCAGCCGCTTCCGAAATCCGCAAGAGTGACCGCAGCCCTACATTGTATTGGATGAGAATGTAAGCAGTTTGAAACGATTCCCACATGAGGATTGACCGAAGGGGTTTGCTCGAGACATCTGTGATTGATTCTCATCCCATAGGCAATTTTTTGTTGCGCGGATGGTCAGCAACGATGCTCCGAACGGGCAATTAGCATGACATTCTCGTTTTCGCTTTTCTGACGTACGTGTGCGAGACCACGAACAGCTGGTGGAAGCGATTAGCCATCGTGGATTCACGCATTCTGTTGGTCCAAAGCGGGAAGGATCGAGAGGCGACAGAGGTGGCAGATGGTCAGACAGGTGGTTCACGGGGTCAGCTGAGGTCATGCCTCTACACTCTTACACGCACTTCGGAAGCTGCAGCTGGATAGAGGTGGAGAAGCTGCTGGTCATGAACTATCGTATGTGCAAGTACCGAGTGAATAATTATTTGGATTTGCAGATTTGCAACGTCCCCTGAGTGAAGATTCCGATTGGGTATTTGCTACTGCGTACTTTGCTCTCGTTGAGGCTTCAAAATGGGAATGTCACAGAAGCCAGTATATCCCCAGCTTTCCACGCACTTCAGCTCAAATACAGTGGAAAGTAGAGGCGATGGAAGCTACTCTCCTCGGAGAAGTTGATTTGTTTTCTTTTCAGACATGAACTTCTGATAATAAAAAATATAAACTTCGAAGTTCACTATCTTCAAGTAGTATTCTTGCAACAGTTGGGCTCCCAGTTTCTTCACATATGCTATTCCTCTCACAGTTCAATCAACAGGATGCAAAAGAAGGTAGAAAAGGACCTCGACCAATCCTTCATGGAGTTCTAACTGGGATGTAGGGAATGCAGAAAATTTACTGCAACGTTTCAACCATCAAATGGTTAAGGATGACCATTTATAGAGACCGACTATCAGAATGAACTCTTCGTTCACCATGAACTCTAAGAATTTTTTGTTCAAAAAGCTATAATGGATAGAAGATGAAAAAACTCAATGAATGACTTGAGGCTAGACTCAAGCTGTACTGCTTATGGCTGATTGATTCCCACCAACTACTGAAGACGTTTGCATCTTCACATGCGATGCAGAGGAAAGTTCGGATGTGTTTCGCCATCTACCAAGTCACCCCGAAGAACCAGATTGTTCCTTCTGATTATTTTTCATTGCCGCTCCAAGCGCATTTTGAGGAGTAGGCTCAAAAAGGGAGTTGGTCTTCACTTCCCATGTTTCGATTGCTACAAACTTCGGACGCGTAAAATGTAGCCAGGGAGATGTACACATATAGTTAGATCATGTTCCTCAACAAATAGCTGGCCATGTGATGGACCATCTGCAAGCGATCCCCCATGCTAATTGCTGCCACTTCGTTGTTGTACACACTGGCAATTACCGCCCAGACACCCTTCGGTTATCAACTGTCCGTTCGCCCACTGCCCTTTCCCTCTCAGCAAGGACCACTTAATTAGTTGAGGATGGGAATAGCAACGTATGTTGTTTGGATGACGAGGCTGTTCGGCCGCAACCAACATGAATTTCCATCATTCGTCATGAACTCGACGAGCCGTAACCTGGCTGACAATTTAGGAATTCGGCAAAAACCTTTTCATTTATTATTCGGTCATTCAACGACTAATGGAACGCTTGGTAAGTGATGCTGCGGATGTGGTAAAAATGTATCTGAAAAGAAAAAAGCTCGCAGCAAATATTGAGCTTCAGTGCTCCCTCAATCGTGTATCTTACCTGGAGCTACACGCAGGTAAATGAAAGACTGTTGTCCAGAACCGGTTGATACCTCTGAGAAGAACCACGTCTTTGACTTTTGATTAGGGCATATGCGGATGCACCAACATCGGCGCTTGACAAGCGGAGATTTTTGTTGGATTCATTTAAATGGAATGTTCTTGCAGACCAGCATAGTAACAAATTACTCATCATAGAAACGTGGAGGAATTGGTTTCGCCCGGCTCTATTTCATTCTTTTACCCCTGCAACGGGCCGAAGAGGGAACCATTTTTGCTCCAGCTCGGAGGAACGATTGATCAAGCGATTATTACAGAAATGAGAAGACCGCAGTTTTTCTACATATTTCTTGAACCATGGAGATAGCCAGAAATCACCATATTCTTCTATACGTAACAAGTAAGCACTGAGAATCCTTTTAGAGTAGTTCTTGGGCATTTTTCAAATTTTCAAAATTGAAAAAAAAGAAAAATCTCGAGTGAGCTTTTACTGCCACAAACTTCTGAGTAGTGAAGAAATGCCTTTCTGCTCTGAAATGGAGAAAAATCTCCTAATAAACATAGAGTTAGCTTACTCCAAGGCCATGGCCCTTCGTGGTCCCGTACTTATGGGGACAGCTATTTCTACCCTGAGTGGGAACGCAGGTTTGGTGGTACAAAATTTCGTGGAATGCACGAATATCAAAGGACAAACCTGGTGGATTTTTTATGAGATCGTATGCTTCAAAATTCTTTGAATGGAGCTCTACTGAACGAAAAGATATCCGTCTTTTCTGTTGATGTGGCACAACTCGAATCGCCTCAACTTGTAGGTCCTTTCAAACGATCCCACCTCTCGCAACCGTCATGGCATTTCGTCAGTTGAACCGACTGATGACGTAGGTCGAAGTGTTGGGCTGAAATTTCTTTTCGACAATGATGACGAGACTCTGTTCGCTGACGCAAATCACCATGGATATATGCTAATTCCACCATATATCGGACCGCTTTTCAGCTTGGCAGTTATTAGCATTCAGAGTGGTTGGTGGTTACTGAATGCTGAGATACAACTGGATTTGTAAGGAGGAGCTCACTGTTGGAAGTCATTCAGCGCTTTCAAAATCACCCTAATCATCAGCAACAGGCGAACGTCGGTTTCTAAGTCTTGACAATACCTTTGGGTGATAGGATTTTGTAAAAGACCAGTGATAAGGCGGGTGATTTTCCTGATGCTTTCACAAATTTTGGCAGGTATACGGTATGTTTTGTAAACAATTGAGTAACTCTATTCCCTAAAAGGAATCGTTGATCCTCAGTGAGTCACCCTGGAAGAGACAGCAGCAAGAGGGTGGCTCGTCTGTGATTGGTCCATAGGTCTAGGGCGGGGTCGCCCCCCACCGGGCAGCTGTTTCCACAATCATCTCAGTCGGCCATGACCGGTCAAACACGGTCACATGCTACCGTATGCCGGCTATCTTCCACATTTCTCGCATAAAATGACCCATACAGTGCGTCCCTTCTTAACAGCAACTCTGAATCGTCTCCCGTCTTCACTGATCTCCTTTCTAAGCATGCTTTTCAGATGTCACTCTCGGATTTCTGGGTCCATCGCTTAATATCGACGACAACTCCGTCTCCAGTGCCGTCCTGCTCCAGCGTTGCATCAGAGGACACCTCAAAACTGTCAGATGCACCACCACTCCTGAAGCCTGAGGCGGTGAAGCCTAATATCGACTTTGGCGCCCTTCAAATGCTTCAGATGCAACTCATGTGGCAACCCCAGATCATGCAGAATTTTCTGGCAATGATCAGCATCGATCAGGAACAAAGACAACAAAAACAGCAAAAACAGATAGAGCAATTTAAGGTGAGTTCCCCTTTCTAGAAAAGTATTAATTGATATTTAAAAATGACTTTAGGAGGTCGCAGCCACCAATGCTGTTAATCCCCGGAAAAGGCCACCATCGGTGGTTAGCGAAACAAAAAAGACAAAACAACGAAAGCTTGGGGACGACTCCGTTAATGCCTCCCCTGTCAGCGGAATGTTTATAAAGGTTCGTTTGCAGAAATCGGGTAATTTGTAAATTTCAGGAAATAAATCATTGCTACCAAAAAAGATCATCCCCCGAAAATCATGAAAATGTTGTGAGAACCCCTCGACCCTATTTTGTTAGCGAAAGAAAGTAATATCCATTTCCTAGGACGACTCGCAGAGAGTAATGGTTGAATGGATAATGATTGATGAAACTTTTAGAGCCATTTATTTCGGCTCGGGATGCGCTAGGGATTTTGATATCTGCGCGAAATTGCGTAAGCGTTTGATTGCGTACCTAGCCTTCCCAATGGCTTGAGCGTGTCAACCAATTTGTAAGTCAGTAACCGTGTCCTCCCAGACAAGTTTATTATCAGTAAGCCAATCCTGGAATGAATCAAGCTGGACGGGAGTCATCGAGGGTCATGTGTATATTAGCGGCGCCTCCTGGCTTTATCCCATTCCCGTGTAGGTGAAAATCCACAAATAAAATACGAAAATAAAGTGAAGATATATAATTTTTGGGGTTTTTCGCGTGGTTTTTCGTTTTTCCCTTTCCCTCCCATATGGAAGAGAGGCCATGAAAGCTTCTCAGTCACTTGATAATCGAATATCTGCGTAATCAAAGGCATGGTCTTCGGGAAGGGCTCATGAGATCATAAGATAAACGTAAGGCACCTTGGGGTCATTATTTGTCAGCCGTCGTCGGCAGCAGCACCAGTTAAAAGCTCCCGATCAGGCCTTAATTGTCACCCGCTGAGCTTTTGACCTTAACGCCTTCGCTTCCGCAAGCCGCCTCGATTAGCATCCGATAGCTGCCGTCATTATGAACCGTTCCGACCATCGGCTTTTCTTATGGTCTCGACAATGCAGTCAAAAGTGACAGCGCTCTCCTTTGATTCAAAGCTGGGGAACTACTGTCACCGAGATGAGCTTTGATTGAAATTCAAGAAACACCTGGTCCTCATCCCCTCCACTTCCGAATTCTGCCTCCCTGACGACGATCCCGCGACGAGGCAGACGTTGAAACAAATGCAAACTTTCAGGACGAGTCAACCGTACCACCCGCTGAAGAGCTTCAGAAGGATGCAGACTCCCTGGACGAGACAGCCGCCTATGTGGAAGTTACAGAGGAGAGCCGAAAGAAAATTGAAGCGATTGAGAATGTGATCGGCGATTGCGTCTGTTGTTTATGCAAGGTTGGTATACTTCATCGAGCAGTTGAAAAAAAAATGAAAGTCTCTCTCTTCAGGTGCGATACGATGATGTCTTCAAGTTGGCACAACACCGTTGTCCTAGGATTGCCCACGAGGAATATCGTTGCCCGGAATGCGAAAAGGTATGGAGACTTCCGGTCAGCACTTTACATAGTGGATTAGGGAAGCTGATCATGTACAAGTTGGAGTGTTTACAGAGCGTAGTGCCACCTGTAGCGGATGTCTCTTAAGATAGGCTGTCTGTTTACTCAATAAGGCAGTTGGCGCGTACTTGACAACCACCCTAATCCAGCCAGCGGATCCACCTGGACGTTTGATTTCGCCGCTTGCTTTGTGCCCATGGTACTCATGTTGAGAAAAGGGTTCACAGTAGTGAGCCTTGATGAGCAGGGAACTGAAAAGGACAAATCATGTAGGGTACAGGATTAGACGTTTAAAAAATCGTGCCCGTTACTGTGTTCTACAAGCACTAGTTCATTTCGTCTCGAATAAATTTACAATAACCGACATCCAGGTAGCAAGCGTGTAGGGAAGGGTTCCCGATCCGCTAACATCGCGCGTCTATTCATGTTCATTTTCTCGAAGTGCGGAATATCGTCCGGAGCTCCTGTTTATTACAGAAGTGTCAACAGTGTGCAAGGCCAGACGGTATTTCATAACGATCTCATAAAGGAAGTGGGAGCTTCGACTTCAATCCCATGCATGAGGATAACATGGTTCAGGAAGGATGACACAGTGCGATCATCCATGAGCTAACTGCTTGAAAACTAGACATTATCAGGAAGCCATGGGCTGTTTGTAGACTCACTATGGCATAATTTCAATAGAGACTGCTTACTTGAATCAGGACACAGTGATCTTGAAGCCTGTGGTCATGCCTACCCTCTCGAAGGGGTAACTATTCAGTGGTCACAACAGAAAGAAATACGAGGTACTATTCGCTAGGTGAAGCGCGTAGGCTGGCACATTCCTACACAGAGAGAACGAAAAGACGACATGCACACCACCGATTCGTCATAAATGGGCGTCTATTTTTTCTTCCGCACTCAGTTATTTCACTAGCTTTCCTACTTCTATTATCCCGTTCCTTAGCCAGTAATTTTGCAGATTTTCTCATGCCCTGCAAATTTGGCATCACATCGTCGCTGGCATCGCCCGAAAGAACAGGCGGAGGCATTCCGATGTATGGCCTGCTCGTTGGCGTTCAGCACCCGTAAGGAGTTCAAAGCACATTCTTGTCGCGAACCACTTCGCCCCTCAATGTCGTTTGACTCGCTCTTCACAGGTCTCCTGCCCAGTCCACTCGCACCTTTGAAACTCGAAATGCATTGATTCAAGCATATATATGAATAAGTTCGATTCCAAACCATCAGTTACACCGTCATTTCTCTCTAAGTCTTCAGATCTCTTCTCCATACAGCTCTGATCTCAATAGTTTGTCAATATATACTGGTATCGTTCGTATTATCGACCAATCTTTGTCACTTACACTTATTAGCCTTGTTCTTTTCGTCATATTAGTTAATCATGGGCATTCGACGGTTCTGAGCGAATTCCAAAGTGAGCCTGATGTGAATATTAAGCTGAAGGCTTAGATGAACCCCTTTTTCTTTACTTCCACGATTAAATTCGAGCTCAGCACTGTCGAATCCGCCAAACTTCTCCAAATCCCTCTTGCTGAGTCTTTCTAGTCTGTCTGATCTCGAGGCAACCCCGAGCTCTAATTCGCTTTGTCTAGCTTTAATTGTTCATGGCCGACGGACCAAAATTACCATGACAGTATTACTGTACAGTATTCTATCCGCAGTGTTGCATTTTCGTTGTACTTCGTTAGCATTCCATGTTCTGGAGGATAGCTCCAATCTCCACCGAATTGCTCTAGTCACGTGTATAGATCGCCCAAAGTAGTACTCTCTCTGTTAATCTCTGATAACAGCCCCACTTTACTCTTCACTCCACCACCCACGCCCACATGAATACGGTTCTCCTCCACTTGTCTTCCCCCGTTTGTTGTTGTTCATTACTCTGCAGCCGAGCTGGCCTATCTAGTCATGTTGTACAGTCTTTCCTATTTGCTGTGTTTATTAATGCTTTCTCAATTGGTACATTTCAGTCCTTATCGTTACATTAAACATTAAATTATGTATCTAGAAAACTGTCGTTCGTTTCAAGTGTTTTACTGCACAATTTCAGTAGGGAATCAAGTTGAGAGCAAATTTGGAGACAGGCTAGACAATGACCGAGTTAGGGACACAGCTCTGAAAATGGCAACTCACACTGGCCGTCCTGTCTCATGCCTTGGGTCAAGACTTTTATGAAACAACGTCCATGTTTGTTTCAGCGACTCTCGGAGTTGAGATGGAAGTCCCCTGCCACAAGCATGAGATGTGGCCCACTTCCCCTACCGAAAAAGTGGGTATCTTTCACTACAATCGAGTTCTTCCGGCTCCTTCCTAATCCGGAGAAGGAGTTAGTCCCCACTAACTCTCCCGTTCATGAACGGGCCCCTTGTAATCTAAAGGTTACAGAAAAAAATGAGGATTTTCAGCAAATCATTTCCGCCATATCCGAAGAAGAGCACATCCGGCGTTCTTCGATGCGCTTTCTTGACAGGCCATCTATTGTATTTGTGATGGCCATGAAATGTACACCGTGCCATCTCATTTACGGTGCGTTGCGTTCCGATTTGCATTTCGTACCACCTGCTCGGTCAGCCATTAGCGCCACGCATCTCGCAGCCGGCTTCGTGTTTCTGTCAATTGTTATGGCCCCAAGCCACGGAAGAAGCTGTAGCGATTGCGTAGCATCAATGGCCACGAGGTCGTAACAGGCTTAGATAACTATCTCTTCACTAAGCACAGCTCACTAGGCTCCAAGCTGCTAGAGCGAACGGTGTATAATGTACGTGCCACAAAATTACTTGGGAGCTGGTCTACATCTAATTACCTGTCTTGAGGATTTTGTGAGTAACCCAGGAGATTAATGTAGTGATTCAAACGACCGGTATCTCCTACCTATGGGTACCAGCCGCTCCGCTTGTACGAACTGAATCCCCTCGACTGTTCATGAAATGATGGCTGAAAAATGAGCCTAGAGAATGATACACCTGTTTGATCCGCCCAAATACTTGAACTTTTACCCAGTAACCAAAAGCTCAGGTTCCAAAATAAGCACTTGAGGTCACTGACGATAGTTCGATAACGAACCCAATTGGGTGAGAGCCGATCTGACCTCGGCAGGTGTCGGTGAGGTTGTTTAATTGTGTGGTCAGCTGCACTGGTCTGTCACGGCACTCTCATGCGGGACCATCTGCATAATGACATCATTAGTCAAGAAACGCTTACAATAAAAACTACATCTTTGACCAATTACGCTTAATAATTATTCGAAACCCAATGACTGTAAAGTAACGAAAGTGTATCGTATGAAGTTGTCGATCGTCATGGATCCAACTGTGCCCCGGAAATATCCGGAGAGGCTATGACTACCACCGGAAATGAACCTTAATACGATATTTGTAAATCGATTCGAGGCAAAAACCTTGAGTTTCTGATTTGTGCGTGGGTGCGATAGAGCTTTATAATACTGTACAGTTATAGTGAATGCAAGAACAAAATGTGTTGAATTTCGGCCACAACTTCCATGTACGAATACTGCTTGAGAAAAGAAAGTAAGCGCAAGGTAAACAACATTTAAAATCATCATAGATACACATGAAACCAGTAGCAACAAGGAATTTGACAACACGCTTGAAAAGGGCAGAATCGCTAGAAGTGGATGCGAAGAACAAAAAGAAACTTCGTGAAAAAAGATCAACAGCTTTAAGAGCGCATACCAGCATTCTCTTCATTTCTGTTTAGCATGAACGAATCTTACTTCAATGTCACTGATCTCTGTCGCCTCACCAGCCTTTTCGTCATAGTCGGCCCAAGCCTACAATTCCAATATGACCATAGAATGGCAAGGATTTCCAAAATCGAACGGATAACCGGATAAAAATGTTTTTCCACTTTAGCTTCCTCAGCAAAGTTCAAAATGGTAGTCTACCAAAAATCATTAATTGATTCAACCTTTTCAGAGAGATCGATGTCCTCAAACACTGTACCGGATTCTGTGCCAACGGCGGTCCATCCCATCTGAATTCAAACTACTTAACCAGTCGTACTTGGCCATATGAGTATGAGCCATAAATACGATCAATATGAGATTTCTTAAACAAAAGAAATGGCCAGAGTAAAATTTTCTTTTAGTAACACCAGCACCCAAAGTAGGTAAGCGACAAACATATGAATCAGAACAACCTTAGCCACTTGGAAATATGCGCGAAACTTCGTCATACAACCTGGCCTAGCAAATAAATTAAATCGTTGGATCGAAAAATTCACCATACCCTCGGATCAAAGTCGATAGGCTCCAGACCGCGACAGTCTAGTTGGATCATAGGCTGCCATTCTTCGTTGTGATCAGCAGCATCATACTTTCCAATTGAATCTTGGACGATAGCTGTAGAAAGAAATGCAACAATACTACACAGTTCACATGTTTAGCTGAGTTGTTTCTCTCCAGAAAGTGACTTCCAGATTCATCCCATCGAAAAAATCAAAAGTAGGTTCGTTTCCCGCAAACACCCAATTGATCACGACAAACATTTGTGAATCACGGACTCTAGCTAGGAATTGTCGTGGTATCTTGTGGAAACTTGACAGTGGATGCCTTTACTGTCTTCTTGTAGAGGAACACAAAGTACAGACATCCACTATCAAGGAGCATGGATGGTACGAAACGACCTTGCTCACTCGCTCAAAGTCTATATTGTTCTTGCAAGTCACTGCAGGAATTCGCGAAATTTCCAGGAGCCACCTTGAAAAATCTAATAGAAGCAGATGTCTCCGTAAGTGGGACTTTATGGAGCTTTCTTAGTATACTCACCAACTGTGTTCACTCGGTTACAAAGTTTACATTTCTCAACAAGATTCGCCTCTCCACGACTACCAGGAACTTCCAGAACTTCCTAAACAACGGGATTTCAGAGAGGCGAATCAGTCACACTCTGGCGTACAACTTACATTGATAACCACATACTGCCAGTAATCACGAGATTCTCCGCAGTTCATGCATCGAAACTGTAATGATGGTTAACAGACTCGTTAGACTGATTGATATTATCTAACCCAAACCAAGAAAAAGGGAAATCATCGAAATCAAGAAAGAGAAAACATAAATATGGGTGCCTTATAAAACAATATTATAACATCCTCAAAAGTGGGTGTGAGTTCATATCCTCGAAAATCGCGTCGATTCGCATAACCCGATCGTGCCCAATCGCTCGTTGTAAAGGGAAAGGTTGAAATCCCAGTGGAAGAATACGGTACCCTGCCGATCCACTGCCGCTTGCTGTGGGTATTCTAGGAGAAGTATCGCCACCCTCCACGAGTTTTACAAGATAATATTTATTTAACTGCCTTCCTTAGTTTCCTTCTCTCTACCTGTCAGTAGGGATCATATTGAACGCACCTTCAGAAACCATCGATGGTTTTCGGGATCACTCGGTGTGAAGCCCGTCACTCCTACCATATTGCATTTGATTTCAAGAGCTAAAACCGGCTGAAAAAATGAAGTAAAACCTCCCATAATCAGTAAATTGTTATGAGTGCTCACAAAAAACTGGTTGAACGCTCACCATATTGACGAGAGAGACAGCAAAACGTAGCACACCTTAAAATTCTGCTTTTAGGCATGAGAAAAGACAAGGAAATATAACTTCCATATCGAATAACAGTGCACTGAAGGAACGATCGTGACAACGAAAGCACCAAACAGAATCATTTTCAGCAAACTACAGAGCATGCGCGTGAAAAATTTATTCGAAACATGAACAAAATACAACAATCTAAACCGATCTCAATGTAAAAAAAAGGCACCCGTAAGAATTTCATTCGTAAAAGGAACGTAATCTGGTGAACATCGAGGATAATTGATAACAACCTGTACATTTTGAGCAAAATTTTTAAATTGTATAAAATTTTCGAAATCTTATAAAGGCCGAGGGCCAGTAATGAAGATCTACGCTGCAATATATTGACTATAACTACTGGAAGCACTTCTCATTTTGTACAAACAATTCCCTCATGATTTGCGTCTCAGCGCACCGGTATATTTTTGAAATCGTGCGAATTCAGCATCGTTCATGAATACATCGAACACCAGATGTGTTCCTGTCGGATTTGGCTCTCGTGATACGAATCCTTCCCTTAACAGTTGATGATAATGATCCAAAGAGAATTATTGAGTTTTTCGTAAAGTTTCCGCGAATTTTCGAGGTCGACTTCAGGTGAAATTTCTCGAAGAAAATGTTCGCTTATTAAGGCGGTTACCAAAGTGAGTTCCATCAAGTGGTCGTCAAAAGTCGCATTTGACACATTAGACCTTTCCGCTATTTTACGAGTAGTTATGCACCTATTGTTTCAAGAAGCATTGTATCTGTCCTTATAGACTGAGGGCCTTCCCGACACTGCCGGCATTCGGAGGTGATTTGCAAACCACTCAAATACTGTGCATTCTGGCAGTCCAATTTCTCCGTAGATATCCTAAGTCATTTTCGCAAATTAAGCTGCACTTTTGCTCTTGTGGTTTGAGGAAAGCCTCAGGTGTTGGAAATGCTTTCGATGGTGTACAATGCACATGCGCATTGTACAATTTGTTAAGGTTGTATCGAACTGGGCTGATACCGTCAGATTCGCATTTTCACAAAAGATAACGTACAAAGCTCATACATGAGTTAGGCCTTCTACCCACCACTTACACTTCTACAACGACATTGCAAATTTTCACACACTTACTTGTACAGGTATGCAATGGCAGGAGACGAACACTTCAGAGATAATCTTCGAAGTTTACAGCCAGTTGCCCGGAGAACAAACTGTAAGAAAGTACGTTGAATCAAAAGCGGAAAGGGACGAATTGCTCAGTGGTGTTTACGGTAAATTCTAGCAAACCAGACATACGCCTGCGCAAACCTCGCCCTTTCTGACGAACACTGAGTACGATCTTCAATAGAGGGTTATCCTCCATGTATCCGACTTCAGAGGAATTCCCTTCACCCCATGCAGAAGTTTTGCTCGAGATTTTAGTCAATTTGCTCGATGTTAGCAGCTCTTTTCTCTTAATACACGCAATGACGCGGAAGTATGTTATTTGCCACCTGTTCATCTGAAACCACTTTGATGTTCAACACAATTTTGACATGAAGTTTTCGTACAATGCGTGGTCCATTTTCACCTTTCTAACTTCCACCACTAGTGTGGGTGATCTTCTATGAATCCGTTTGAACAGAACAGGTGCTGCAGCTAGACGGCCTTGAGCGACAGCTGAGCCTGGTTCCACTCTCGCCGTGCCAGTCCTCGGTACTACTTCTTTTCTCTCGAAAATCCTGTCCATTGATTCCCAGTCGCTCTGGATGCTCCCACTCAACTGTCGAACTACAGTGACATGATACTCTCTCTTACCCATCTTGCGCCATAAAGATGGCCAAGTTTTTCGGGCGCCATAACTTTTTTGTTGTCTTCTGAATCCTGCGTCCATATTTAATAATTTTTTCTCTTCCATTTTACGCCCGCTTTCTCAATAATGACCCGATCGATCACCATTAGGGGTAAAGGATAAAGTCCTATAGCGTATCAATCCCGTCAGAGGGATGTGCCCACGCATTCGACTTCCATTCAGAATCGTAGGGCCGCATTGGATGCGCATTTGTTCTATACCATGACTTACAGTGGCCAGTCAATGTACAAGGCAGTACTTTCATCCTTCCAGATCAGCCTGGTGTCAATTAACCGACCTCGGAGGTATGGAAGGCTTTGTTGGCATAGGCGGATGTCGAAAAGGGATTCAAAACAGTGACCATGTGAGTGTGTGAAGTGCGCCACTTGCCACTACATCATTTCCGCTTACCGTTCACCGTAGAGATGAAATATTCTAAAGATCGCTAAAGGATCTTCAAGGATCGCTCAAAAGTGCACTGCACCTCTTTCGCTGTAGAGCAATGTCATCTCTAATCTGTTCTTGTCATGCACATCCCTTGCAAGCAGTGGGTGTGGAATTCCTGCACCTACTGAGTCATCGGGAAGTTTGTCCACCGCTCACTTCGCCAAAACGAGAAAACCTTGAGAAAATTTTCTGAAGCCTTCTGCGAAAATATACGTGAGGATGGGACATGCTCTTACCATTTGCGTGGAAACGTCTGATTAATACCAAGCGAACTCCGGTAAGAATAATTGTTTGAGATCCACTTACTTCATCTACTTTGGCTATTAGATTCTCAACGCCTTCAGAGGTTTTGCATGAAATCCTCATTGCGCTTGGAGCAGAAGTACTCGGTGCTCCATTCACGTCGATCTGGAAGTATAATTCAATACACTACAGCAACGATACTCTTTCATGAGCAACACATTACGGGGGCCCGCTTCAGAACTAAGGTATTCTGAATTGATTACCCGTGAATACCTCAGGTTTGGATGAGATAAACTAGACCCCCTTGGGGTAACCGAAAAACGTTGTCCCACCTTATTATCAACCACGATGACATCATCCAAGCGATTCGAAGGCAGACCGATTTGCTTCAGAGTGTTGTCAACGTCTTCGCTCTGTGCTGGCCAATCTGGGTTCGAAATATCACGAATGTGAATTATGACATCCTGAAATCATGTCAGTAATACCAACACATTTCTAATATTATGTCCTAATAGAAACAACAAACGTACAGCTAAAACCACATGGGAAAGGGTTGCCTGGAAAGCAGCAAGGAGATGCATTGGTAAGTCACTCAGAAAGCCAATGGTGTCCGTAAACACTACTTTGCGACCCGATGGGAGCCTGAACTTCTTAAATAGTTACGATAAATGAAAAAGGGTTAGAATTTCTTGGAAATCATCGGAACTACAAGAACTGCCACCGATACATTTTGCTGCGAAGCCTCATCTCTCCAAAATGGTACCGCCCAACTGTGAACTTTCCCGTTTTTTGTCGGTTTTTTTTTTCATTTCGCGCCTCATTGACCTACCCAATGATTTTTGCTATTTATTCTTCATTCATCGAATGCATGATCCATGATTCAATGGGGTAGGGCGTAGTGACTCTATAAAAGGTGTGATGTTTACTATTACCTGGCTGCGCTTGAACACTGGGCTGCTACTTTTATCTGAAAATGTCAATGGAGCTCACGTTATGGATGACTCAGATCTAAGGGAATTCGGACTTATATAAGAAAATCTATTGGCGTTCATCTATTCCGTTTTTTTT